CTCAAGTTATGTCACAACTTTCTACTGCTCTAGTGCTAGTTTTAAATTCAAATTTGTAAAAATCTAGCCATTATACTCTCCATCAAGGGCAGAATTTAGAAATGGGATTAATCACAATATTGCCAAAAATAACTGCGCAAAGTTAAGCTTTTATCCCACTCACTGCTAAGTCGCAACATGCGATTTGTCTGTAACATTAAAATTACTCGCTAGATTATACATAGCTGTTTCAATAACATGGGTTGGGGAATGGTAACATTGTGCCGTAGGGTTACATGATGGAAGTCACAGCTTTCATCCTTTGTTTAATCTTTCAGTTATGTTTTTCAATAAGATATTCACTTTCATTTCGCACAGGGAAGCACCACATTATAACATTGGTACAGTTGGCTGTTTGCTCAACACGTGAAACAATAACTCTGGTTGCTATAGCACAAACAATTCACATGATGGCACATAAACTACATATTTTCTCAACAAATTGCCAAGGAATAAATAATGAAAAGAAAAGAATTGATGTTTTTGAAAAATTAAAGAAAAGAAATGGAAATTTTACTGTTTACAAGATACACACTTTACTAAGGATATAGAGCAGAAAGTTAAATTAGAATGGGGATCATCTGAAGTACGCTCATTTACAAGTCAGTCTAGAGGTGTAGCCATCCTATTTCAAGATAATTTTGAATTTGAAATACTACAAGAAATAAGAGATGAAAATAATGGAAACTATATAATACTTAAGGTTAAACTAGAAAAACGAACTGATAAGCATAACAAATATATACGGACCAAATACTGACACGCCAGATTTCTATCATAACATAAAACACATTGTAAAAAACTTGGAAACAGAAACAAATGTAATATGTCGTGATTTCAATCTGGTTCAAGATCAAACCCTAGACACCTTCAACTATCTGCACATAAATAATCCCAAATCAAAGGAAGCAGTACTTGAGATGGTTGATGAACTCAGTTTATATGATCCATGGCGAGCAAACAATGTAAATGTACGCAGGTACACTTGTAGAAAGCCTAAACCCCTAAAACAAGCACGGTTAGATTTTTTCCTCGTAAGTCAAAACATGGAAAAATCAATAACCTGCACTAAAATAGAACCTAGTTATCGATCTGATCACTCCATAATCTCTTTACATATTGAATTCACAAAAATAGAAAGGGGTAGAGGCTTCTGGAAATTTAATAATAGTTTATTACAAGATCCACATTATGTGAAAGAAATCAAAAGCATTATTCAAGAAACTGTTGATCAGTATCACAGTCGATCCACTGAAGGAAAGCGAGTATCAATGATAAACGAACAAATATTCTTTGAAGTTTTATTATGTAATATTCGAGGATATGCAATTAAATATTCATCTCCAAAAAAGAAAGAAATAATTAAAGCAGAAAAGGAAACCGATGAAGCAATTGAAAACCTTGATGTCAAATTAGATGCAGCCATGAACGAAGAATACAAAGATAAATTATTAAAAGAAATAAATGAACTCAAAAAAAAACAATTAGAACTTAACCGATACAAAACAGAAGGCATTATACTAAGATCGAAACCGAAATGGTATGAACAGGGAGAGAAACCGTCGAAATACTTCCTGTCACTTGAAAAACAAAACTTTCAAAATAAATCCGTTGCTAAATTAGAAACTGCATATGGAACTATATTTGAAGCTAAAGATATTATTAAACATACCAAAGATTACTTTCAGAATCTATATATTAGTAAAGAAATAAAAGATGTAGAACTTGAAGAACTTTTTAAAAATTGCACTATACCGAAAATAACAGAAGAAGAATCTCAATGCCTGGAAGGCGAACTACAATATGATGAAGGCCTTCAATCTCTTAAAAATACGAAAAACAATAAAAGTCCTGGACCATCTGGATTTACTGCAGAATTTTACAAATTCTTTTGGCATGATGTTAACAAATATTTGATTAACTCGTTGAATCACGCATTCAAAACAGGTGAACTTTCGGTAAGCCAAAAACAGGGCCTTAGAACATGTATTCCCAAAAAAGATAAACCTAAAGACCAAATTAAAAACTACAGACCTACATCACTCTTTAACATATCGTATAAACTAGCCTCGTCTGTAATTTCAGCGCGAATAAAACGTGTACTCCGGAAAATAATAAGCGACGATCGAAAAGGCTTTGTGAAAGGTAGATACATTGGCGAATGCACGAGACTGGTCAGTGACATTATGGAATATACAGACTATATGAATATACCAGGATTATTGATAATGATAGACTTTGAAAAAGCTTTCGATTCCGTGGAATGGTCTTTTATTGAGAAATGTCTTAACTTCTTTAATTTTGGACCATCAATCAAACACTGGATTAAAACATTTTACAATAACATAAATTCTAGCGTTTCAATAAATGGTTTTGCATCAGACTTCTTCCACATTACTAGAGGCTGTAGACAAGGTGATCCTCTATCGCCATATCTATTTCTCATAGTCGCAGAAATCCTTGCTCACATGTTATGTCAAAATGACAAAATAAAAGGGATAAAAATGTTTGACTTAGAATATTTGCTACCACAGTTTGCAGACGATAGAACTATAATCTTAGACGGGTCTGAACGTTCTTTTCAAACAACATTAGAAGAAAGTAAACATTGATAAAACTAAAGTAGTGTGGATAGGTTCTAAACAATTCTCAAGTACACAGTATTTCAGAGACTATAATCTGGACTGGACGCAAAGACCTTTCAAACTGCTAGGTATCATATTTCAACATAATAAGGCAGAAATGGTGGAAAGAAACTATAAAGATAAACTAAAGAAAATGGATAAATTAATGAAACTTTGGTCACTAAGAGATCTCACACCATTCGGCAGAATAACTATCCTGAAAAGCCTAATATTGCCCACACTCAATCATCTATTTTCCTCACTACCAAACCCCAAAATGAATACAATTCAAATGATCCAGAAAAAGATCTTCGCATTTATTTGGAGAGGCAAACCAGACAAAATAAAGAGATCTCTGATAATCAGAAACTATAAAGAAGGCGGCTTGAAAGTTCCAGATATACCAGAAACTATAAAATCTCAAAAAATATCATGGATAAGAAGGTTATTTACAACAAACTCTAAATTCAACAATATCTTAAATAACAGGGTGAAAAATACAAACCCAATAGAAATGGGCTCAAATTACCTGAAAACACACATCATCCCAAAACTTAAAAACTTTTTCTGGAAAGATGTTCTGGAAGCTTGGGCTGATTTACAAGAACGGTACCCTTACACGAAATCCGACTTTTGCAAACAGTATATTTGGGCAAATAACAATATAAAAATTGGAAACAAATCTATACTATATGAACACTACTTAAAAGCAAATGTAAAATTTATAAATGACATATTAAAAAATGCCGAATCCTTTCTGTCTTTCACTGAGTTTAAAGAGATGTATAGAGTAGAGACAAATTTCTTAGAATATGCGGGAATATTATCTTCAATAAAACAATATTCAAAGCAAGAAGCTATGATATTGACAAAGCAAAGACATTTACCCTTTATTCCCCCGAATGTAAAAATACTCTATGAAAATAAGAAAGGCTGCAATATTTTCTACACAACGCTACTAAACAAGGTTAAATCTATTCCAAGTTTAGGATATCAATGTAAATGGGAAAACGACCTTCATCACAATTTTCCACCTGTCTTATGGAATACCTATCATTTTATACCATTCAGAGCTTCTCATAACACTAAGGAAAGATGGTTTCAATATCGTATTGTCCACAGAATTCTCACTACCAATAAAGACCTATACAACTATAATATATTAGAATCACCACTATGTACGTTTTGCAAGGCTGAAAAAGAAACCATTGTTCATTTGATGTTTGAATGCAGATACGTAAATATTCTGTGGCAAGACCTTTTAAATTGGATTGAAGATAAAACAGACACTACTATAAACCTGGATCCGAAAACAGTCCTTTTGGGCTTTCATGAAAAACGTAACGATGTTCTGAACCTGATATTTATCATAACAAAGTAATATATATACAATGTATTCCAGAAAACTAGCAAATATACGTCCAACCCTTGAAAGTCTCAAAGCCAAATTAAACCACAGTTACAATCTCCATAAATATAATGCATACTCTGTAAAAATAGCAAGTTCACGACTCTCTGGTCATCATGCCACAACTTATTTACATAACCAATTCGATCTCACTTATGCTTGTTTTTCAATTGTGCTATGTATTTGAAATAGTGTTGTGTACGAAGGATAAAACTGTACAAGTGCGAAAAAGAAATTAAAGTGAAAAAAAAAAATGGCCTACTCGCTAGGCCAACGGAGTGCTTCAGTAGGTTATACTGGGCATGTCGAAATATCAAGAGTGAGTGAGTTTGGTTTACTGCCGCTTTTAGTAATATTCCAGCAATGTCACGGCGGGGACACCAATGAGCTTCACACATTGTACCCATGTGGGGAATCGGCGTGACGAGCAAACGCTTTAAACACCAGGCCACCCCACCGCCATCGCAATATCAAGAAAGACAGTTCTATAAAATTTCGCTATATATAAACGACACAAAATGGAAAATCGCTATATGTTGGTATCTAACCTATAAGCCAAGTCTCAAACCAAGTCACAGATGTTTCCATGTGGTTAAATCATCAGTTTGCCAAAATCAATCTCATCTGTGGACCAATATAACGTTAGAGACCCCTCAGATTGATAGTATAATACAAACTGCACATAAATCGAATAACATAATACACGCCCAACGCACAAATGAGTTCACTTGACAACTCTCAAGATGTTTAAGCTTCGTTCGATAGGTGAGAAAACGTAGAGTATTCGGGTCAACGGATCGAATGCTGTCAATCGCACAGTAAGTCATAAATCCAAAGTGACTACACTTAAACAATTTTGACATTTTTAGACTGCGCTTGACTGGAGATAACAATTGATTGGGGAGTATTTGTGACAAGGTCCAACTTACAATGTTCCCGTCATACGAGCCGTGTATCTGATGCTGGCACCAACGTACATGTTCCCAGGAATGTTCTCGCCGAATGCCACGGGCTGGAACCAAGACGGAAGTGAGGGTTACTGGTGCCATACAATGTGTGTCTCAAATTACACCTGTGGGGTCGATATGAATCCCTTATAACACGGCAATATTATGTCCTTTGGTTCATGACAGCAGTGAACCCTGAAATAACACTCCTCATTGATATTACACAAGTACGGGTCAAACAAGACCTCGTGTAGGCTGTGAAGTGGTAGCAGTTGTAATTCCCATGTTAACCAATGGCGTTGGAGAAATATACCGAAGAGCTTGAAAGACAGGTTTAACCGCACACAGTTCATAATGTTCAGCGATTGTAAAGTTCGTTCTGTACAACCCAGAATTATTTTGAGAACCTCTGCAATTATATGTATATTATACATACAAAATAGACATAAAAATAACATTTGTTTCACATTGTAATTTTGATATTGCATGTCTTTTGTATCGGTAAAAGACCTTCACTCAAATAACTTTTGATTTCGACAAGCATAAAAAGTCATAACACATGAAAGTGCTGAAAAAATTATGGTAGCAACGAGCCCACAGTAGAATCCAATTCATTTTAGCCTCCGCTAAAATATTGTTTTACTCCCGCAAGTTCCCGGTGTTAAACCTTTGAGCCATGCAACAAAGTTTAGGGCAGTGTGGAGTATAGTTCTATGACCGGCCAGCACTTGTAATTGAAAGCGAGTCTTTGTTTTCTGATGAATATTAAGTATTACCTATTACAATTCTCAGTCCAACTGCGTCTCTTCGACAATGGAAAAGATAGAAAGAGAGGGGGTGGGACAAACAATTCAATTCTTAAGTAACAACTCATTAGTTGTCAAGTCTACCAGTATGCAAAACGAAAATTGATAAACACGAGAACAAGTATATTTTTCCCTGCTAAAAAAAACAAACTTTTCTACGACAACATCACGACATACGCCACGCCTGGCCCTAATAGTTGTTGAAGAAAAGAGAAATCTGTGTTGGCCGGATTTACTTTGAAAGAACATGAAATCATGTTTTAGGGATATAAAGTCATAAAATGACTTCAAAAGGAACGTGTCATAGAAGTTTTTTCTGACTAACACAACTCACTGTTTTCCTGAGAGACGTGCTAACATACAGTACAGGTGTATTTAGGTGGTGTATTTAGTAAGTCAGTACTTACCGGGTTTTCCCAGTATATTTGATTACATGTGCCAGTAATAGTAGGCCAGAATCCGTCAGCATCACACAGCACTGTCCCAGGGTCGTCCGTCATCTTGTACCCGTCATTGCAGACCACGTTCAAAACTTCAGTGCCGTTCTCGGTTGACGTGGTGAGAGAGCTGGATGGCAAGGTGTTCAGTCTGAACGTCGAACAGGCCCTGGCTAGAACGAAATGAGACATCACAATATAGGATAATCTTCTTCAGAAGGGCACTCATTCAATCTGGTGTTCCAACTTAGATTATCTGCTAACCCTAGTTATTCAGTGTGTATACTTGTCACGATTAACAATTTCCAAAGTAAAACAGAGACCATTTTAGTTTCAGACAGGGCAATCGAGAACCGACTGATAATGGCTCTCCAAGTACATACATTGGACCCTAAAAACAAATGACCAACGGTCATGCCAACAATCGGATCTTGATGTTTAAAGACGAGGGCTGTTTTCCTAATATTTCATACATGTAACGGGTGAGACAGTGATGCCACAATATGGTTGATATGATGCATGCTGGGTTAAACAAATAAACACCTTCATAGACATGGGTTAAGACTCCATGTGGTTTGATAGATCACTGTGTACCAAAACAATAATGCTGGCCATCTTAGTTGAAGGACATTGGCTATCTTGTGTCACTGATACGAGGTCTTTTTGATACGTTTTGAACCCCATAATTCTGTAATTGTGAAACCGTTTGTGGTGGGATGTCGAAGAGCCATATCCAGAAAGAAGCCTTGAGCAGACTGAGCTAACTGTTTCGTTGTGCTGAGTCACAGTGGCCTGTAACCTTTCACAAATGGAAAAACGTAAGGACGAGGCAGTGATCATGTGCATGCAGAAATGGTCAATGATACGATTCTGTCAACGTGTATATGTGCAGGTATGAATTCTGTGGAATAACTCAATGATACACAAATATGAATTAAATGTGTAGATCACGTCAGAACAGATGAGGGAATGAAGCGACCATGAGTTTTTCTATAGCCGGATAGTACAATGGATTTAGAGACTTCTTGTTCTCTGATTACAGAAACAGTCTTACCGCTTATATTTATCCGAAATCCGTTCAAGATTCTTAGCAAACTCTTTGTATAATGTTGCCGAAAACTCAACTTTAATGATTATGAATTTTATATCAGACAGGGAAACGGTGGCTCCGTTGATGGTGGTACTGCGTCCGGAAGGTGTGTCCAAAACCTACACTCCATGATTCGCCTAGATTATGTTCCATAGTATGTCGGCTGTATAATTATCCGTAATCGTAAATTTCTTTGAATTTATAAGTGATGAATAAACAACGTTTTCATCATGTTTCTACTTCGACACAAGATCGACATATCAAAGATGGACACAAATTGTCTGGATGTGTATATATCGCATTGTGGCATTAGATAAGTTGGGAGACGTTGATTCGTGATGGTAACTGTTACAACAAAACACATATACTCACGTCTATAGTACTCAAATCCCACTGACGTAAGTAGAGAAGAATCCGTCGATCGGAACAAACTGGAATGGAGGCGACAGGTGCTGGAGCCCAGATTATAGAAAAATGACTGACATTCTGCGGTTCTATAGCAGTTAACTGCACAATCTGAACGGTTTTCGACGTTCATCCTTGTAGTTAATAAACCAGTGTTGCTTATAGAACCAGTCACTGCTTCATCTCTGAAAAATGTCACATTATCACACGCCAAATTATGTTTCAACATCAGAACGACGACACAGAAACAGACGTCCCAAATCATATCCGTATATAGCAACTTATGAGAAGGAATCTTGAGGTCTTCAACTTCAAGACGCTGTCTATTCTGGCAGCACCGTAGTACGGGTATTTCCCTGGAGACCAGAAGAAGCATTGATTTCAATTCTCACTAACAGAACGTTTAATAGTGGGCTGAAGATAAAATCAATTCTGCCCGAACTGAATAGAGTTTTGACAAATGTACTAAGGAGGCTGCCACGAACCCTAGTCTCAGACTCTTGTAAGATCAAGATCTATAATATATACCATTAAATCAATAAATCAGGCTGTTGTCGATGGTGATCTATCGTACTTTGATTAGGCAGAATCGTTGGGTTCCCACATTACTGGAGGAGACAATATTACAGATAGCATTAGAGCAGGGGATGTTGATTGTGTGGCTAAATGTTAAAACTTTCAGAAAATTTCCATGACATATATATGTTCTCGGTTACATACTTTGAGTTCGGTGTCCTTCTTCGGTTTTGAGGCGTTGGGGTAGCCCAGTGGGTAAAGCTTTTGCTCGTCACGCCGAAGACCTGGGTTCGATTCTCCTCATGTCTACAATTATGTGAAACCCATTTCTGGTGTTCCCGGCTGTGATGTTGCTGGAATATTGCCAAAAGCGGCGTAACACTAAACTCACCCACTCACCATCTTCGGCTTGTTATGGTCATTTATCAAACTATTACATTAACAATCCTGACAGGAACATTCCTGTGTGTTAATTTTGTTGTTTGTTTGTTGTTTAACGCAAAACTCAGTAATATTCAAGCTATATGTAAATAATCGTGTTTGGACCATACAATCCAGTGATCATTAGCATGAGTATCGATCTACGCAATCGGCATACGATGACATGTGTGAACCAAGTCAGGAAGCCTGGCCACCCGATTCCGTTAGTCGCCTTACTAACAGTGGTTACTGAACATTTATTCTAACTCGGTTTGATTAAAGAAATACATCATTGTTGAATATGATAGACATAATATATAGTATGACCAGAAATTATTGAGAATTTTAGGAATATGTTTAATTGGATTTCTGGTATAAACAACCTTGACCAGCTATCCAGTGCTTGGTTTCATTCAAGAGAGACAACTCCGTTAATCCTTTTTCATTAGTTTGTGAAGAGTTATCCCCCTTTGTTTACTTGCTAGCAGACGACCTTTTCAGTGATCCTCAGTATGGATGATTTAGAGAAGAGGAAGTTGATTTTAGAGTATTATAACAAGGGCATCAGATCAGCTAAAGTGATTCAAGTAGAACAGGCATCCCTTTGTCCACTGTTTATCGTGTTTTGAAAAATATTGCAAATGGATATGGCATTAAGCATCAGGGAGGCGCAGGTAAGCCCAGAAAATTGACTGTCGGTGACAGGAGGCGGCTTGGTATTCTGGTTTCTAAAAAACAAACGAAGGAGTTTAGAAAACTTAAGGCTGGATATGATTGAAAGAGGAGCTGTGGCTGTCTGTAAGGAGACAATTAGAACTGAGCTGCATGCAATGGGTTGGCAGAAAAGTCGAGGAATTCCATCACCGATCATGAAACCTGAACAAAAGGAGCGAAGGTTGAACTGGTGCTTACAGCATATAGATTTTAACTGGGACAATGTGATTTTGTCAGATGAAAGTTCTGTGTGGCTGTTTCCTAATACACTGAAATTCTGGACCAAACAAACTGAAAAACCTTTGTATCAGCGCCCAAAGTACAGTCCGAAATTTAACGTGTGGGGTGGCATATCTGTGTTAGGGGCAACGCCCCTCTGTGTATTTGAAGGGAATATGAACAGTGAGCGGTACACAGATATTCTCGAGGGACATTTACTTCCATCCGCTCACGTGTTCTATGGAAATTGTTGGATTTCCAGCAGGACAACGACCTAAAACATCGTTCAAAGCATTCACAGGCCTGGTTTCGGACCCAAAATATTACATTGTTAGATTGGCCAAGCTATAGCCCTGACCTAAATCCAATAGAAAATGTTTGGGGACTTATGAAGGAAAGTGTCAATAAGAAAAATCTGACAAATATTGCTGAAATGAAAGAAGAGGTGGTCCGATATTGATACAGCATTGACCACGACTTTCTAACTTCTTTGATCAGTAGTATGCCCCGCCGCATTGAAGCCTGCATTGCTGCCCATGGTGACTTGACAAAATATCAACTGTTCACCTGTCTTTGAATCTGGAGTTATGTTCTGCTAATATTCACATTTAATTCGTGTGTAATGAGTGAAAAAAATATAAAAATTACAATCTTTAAATTCTCAATAATTTCTGGTTGTACTGTATTATGGAGTTATCACAGATTCATGCACCTTATTCTCCAATTATCCATACTGTTTATATGAGGGAAGAAGAAACTTTATGTTGCCGTTGTGAATTGAGTGTTTTATACCAAGGAGTTTTATGGCACTTATATGCATCTGCAAATATTTCCGTCTTTTACATTAAGCTTATGCACTGAGACAAGGTTGTAAACTAAGCCTCTTATTGTTTTGTTTCTATTTTCTATATTTTTTATTGGTTTATTTTATGTTTCAAGATTTATATGTAAATTATTCAAAGAAATATGCGTCAAAAATACACAGAATGCAATTGTTCCCTATTGTTTTACATATGATTGTTTACTGCTTACTGACATTGTCATTCTAGCATCTAATATTGTAATGTGATTATGAACACAGCTATACATGCAGATAACAAGAATGGCTATTTTTTTACCTATTTGAGCTCTTAACGGAGGGCTGTGGCAATAATCATGTGTGTAATGGAAGAGTGTGATCTACAAAAATGTTTGCCATAAGAGAGAAAGTTACATTTATTGGCTTGTACAAAAAGTCCTAAATGTGAGCAAAAATATCATATATTGTTTACAAATGCTATCCTTACTGTTACTAAGTTTGCATTTTGCATAAAATAACACGTAAGTTTCAAACAAGCAATACCACACAGGTATTAGAGTACATTCAAGTATTTTCACAAAGTCGATAATATTACACAGGGCACAAATGTTGGAAATTGGATATATTGATTATCAGGAAATACACAGCTGTTTCGGGAACTAAAAATTATTAAACGCATCTCTGTTGATCTTTTAACAGAAGTGGAATTCTGTATAAACATGCCTTCCAACCAAAAGTGTACACAGAACATAAAACACAATTTTTTAAAATCGGAGAGTTATTTACTTTTTACTGTAAGTTGGTGACCGTATCGTTCAGCATTTGTTTTTATCAAAACGTCAACACTTAAAGAATAAGCGTCACGAAACATATTCCAGTGCGCATGAAATAGTAATGAAAATGACGGAAATTAGATTACTGAAAATTGATAAGACCAAGCCTTCGCGAAAAGTGTAAACAAGTTCTCATTCACCCGTAGCATCAACGTAAAAAGTAGGTCTCTTTAGCCAAACGCCCGTCCCAGATAAGCTTCGTCCAAATACGATGAATTTGATAAACTATGTTTTGTTTGTTATTTAACGTCGCTATCAGCAAGTTTCCATCTACAGCTTGCGGGCTGTAGATAATCGATTTGTGTATGTCCACTATATAACGAAACAGTAGAACATGAATAATATTTTATCTGAATTTGTCCATAGCATTATTATATACGAAACAATACATGCATCCTGTTTATTGTGTTTCCTCTTTTATCCAGCGAATTGCAGCAATGAAGCTCGCCTATATGCCATGTCACGTGACGCGAGCTGTAGGAACAAGCGCAAGTTGATTGTTATATTAAACACATTTAGCACTGCTGTATATGGGTCGGTTGACCAGAATATAAAGCACTACTTGTTTAGCAAGCGAAGTACAAATATACACTCAAGAATTTGTCATCCATAAAATGTGCCTACTTTCTGTAATTGCATCCGACGAATATATACGTCATTAGGAGGTTTTTTTAGTTGTTTTCAGGGTCACACGCCAGTGGCGTTGACGTTTATATTCGGTATGTCCGTAATCGTATCCAACTGACTCGTCATCCCAGGCAGGCTCGATCCTATTGGGCAGAATTATTTCTGTCAGATGATTACACCAATGCTGGGTTCGTCTTCTTTTCATTGATAGATCAAGATACTGCCAATACTTCATAGATCGTCGTAGAGTGTTGTAGAGCGGTGGAATAGCCTAGTGGGTAAAGCGTTCGCTCGTCACGCCGAATACCCGGGTTCGATTCCCCACATGGGTACAATGTGTGAAGCTCATTTCTGGTATCCCCCGCCATGATGTTGGAATATTGTTAAAAGCGGCATAAAGTCATACTCACTCACTCCAGAGTGTTGCGTAGAGCAGAGGATTAATATCAGGCTTATAACGTGACCGAACAGGACCGGAAGGGGCTCAATCATGATTTTGGGTTGGATCAGTAGAGCTGAGAGAACCGGTTTAAAGTTCCTAAAACTTGGCACGATAACTGGCATTACAGTCATGACATGTTGGACTGACTGACTGAGTTTAGTTTTACGCCGCTTTTAGCAATATTCCAGCAATATCACGGCGGGGGACACCAGAAATGGGCTTAACACATTGTGCCCATGTGGGGAATCGAACCCGGGCCTTCGGCGTGACGAGCCAACGCTTTAACCACTAGGCTACCCCACCGCCCTGACATGTTGGATGTGTACGTGAGACAGTATACTGGTACAATCGGACCTTACGTTATCCTCGTGGACGATTACACACAACCTCATCGTGTAAGGGTCGCTGATGTCTTCTGCAGCAGGAGACCATTGTACGCTTGGAGTGGCAGGCCATGTCACAAACACAACACATATGGAAACAGCTGCAGGGTCATGCTCGCAAGACGCGCTCTCCTGGAAAAAACTCTGCAGGAACTCGGCAATGCTGTTTCTAAGAGTTGAGCAGTGACTCTTCCCTACGTGTATATCGTGCATTCATGTTGTACTTGGGCCTGTGGCCTTTATACTGAATACATTATTCTTCTTCATCAAGATATTTATTGGGGGCTTTAAACGGCGGTGCCACATGCATCACATACCCGTGACCGAAAGTTGGGTGTTGTTTTGTCTTAAATTGACTTTGCTTCATCGGGTCATCTTCATTTTTGGTGAGATACACTTATTTCCACG